ACCCTGTACCACTGTACTACGAAACCATGTTTTGCCGAAAAGGCCAATGTTCGCGGGTGCCCACTGAATTAGCGTTTTGCACTAGGAAAACAAATCCTACATCAGATAAAAGATAATGTTGTACACTACAAGATGATATATAACACATAATTTTAGCAAGCTTGAACACGCCACGATCGCATTTCGAAAACGTGCTGAAAGCGTCATATGTCATGGCCGCCGTGGGACCGCAGCCTTAAAGCACAATCAGGTTTTCGCACAATCCTGCACATGGTGTCGCCGCGGGGCGGTGTAATCCGCGAGCAACATCAGTGCCGTGCCGCTGCTGAAGGTCGAGCGGCTATGGCACGCACCCAAAAAAGGGAAATGCGTCCGGATTTCGGGATTCCTCACAAAAACCAGAAAGCTTATTCTTGAGGATAGGGTCTAACAATGCAGGGCCCGCTTCCACCAAAAGAAGTCAATCAAAGTAAAAAAAGTATGCTGAACGGGAGTGGTATGTCTCATCTAAAGCTGTTTCTTTTAAGAATAGTGCCGTGCTTCTCTCTTCTTATATTTCAATTGCCTGCCTCCCGAAAGCTTTTTTGGGGGGGCGGACAAAAATTTAAGGGGGGCGGCCGCCCACCCTTGCCCCCCTGTAGAGCCGCCCCTGGTGCTATGGAAGCGTTCAATGTTGCCACCAGTCACCCTTTTGCGACCTTGAGCCAAGACGGCTCTCAGAAGTCTCGTCGCATGCTTTTCGAAGTGAAGATGTCTGCCGCCGCACCGAACACCCTTTGAATTGAGGCACTCACAAATACCTGATGCACTGCGTTGCGTGCTTCTTGAGAAAAATGGAACAACTCTCTGCCCTGGTGAAAGTGCAAAGCCTCGTTTTACAGCCAGAGTTCATGCTGCTAGAATCGCAAAGCTATAAAAATTGCAATACAGATAAATAAACCTCGAAGAAAATCAATGTATGTGAATATATTACGTAAATATATTTTATCTGGCAAATATCGCAAAACGGAGGTACAGAAAAATAGCAAGACATGGTAATTACACATAATAATTAAATTACGATGGTACAGAAAAATAGCAAGATACGGTAATTACATATAAGAATTATATTAAAGGTTATGCTTCTATATCAATCTTCCATTAGCTCTGAACAGATGTCGTTTCATGGTTGAGACGTTGGTGAATAAGAGGATGACCTTTTTGGATATATAACTAGCAAAAACATCACGGAATCCCTAAGAAAACTAAAATATATTGTTGATTAAAACGGAAATGTTGATGGACGTATGCCATGCCTACTGTTCCTTGATGCTGTCGAAAACGCATGTAGCACGGGTCGGCCGTAACACCGCTCAGTGTTCTTCAGCTAAGCGTAACGTGAAGCAACGGCAGTGTCCCCCCCCCCCAGTGATAACAGTTATTCTAATTTTGTCAAATATGAGCTATATACGTCTATATACGCATACTTCCATGTCTGGAAGGTGTAAGCAAGCACCTTCATTCTGAAGCCAATCATCCTAGGGAGCGTGATTCTCACACCGCGGTACCACCATCGCTGAAAGTTGCCATATATTACCGATGACGTGTCTCGATATTGTAAAAAAGAAACGGATGGTGCACGGAAAGTGGGTTTAGAAAAATGTTTTCGTGGGAAACATAGCTACTCTGCATTGCTAATGATTTTCATGATGCTCTCGACCAGGGATCTCAAGTGGACTGCATTTTCCTTGATTTTTCTAAAGCATGTGATAAAGTATCACATCAACTTCTACCTCATAAATTGAGTAAACTTAACATCGACCTCTACATATTTAATTGGCTGGTAGCATTCCTAACAGATCGTTCGCAGTTTGTAACCTGTAAAGGTGTTAACTCTACTCTGACATCTGTTTCTCCTGGAGTATTAAAGGTCTGTCTTAGGACCTTTACTTTTTCTAATCTGCATTAATGATCTTCCCAGTGATGTCTCCTCTTTCACAATATTATTTGCCGACAACTGTGCTATCTACCAAATAATATCTAACGACTCTGATTCCCAACAACTACAGGACGAAATGGACTCTATTCTTCAATGGTGTGGACTTCAGTCAATGGATCTTAACATAAAAAAGTGTTAACTAGTGCGCAAAACCTGTAAAGTTGCTTTTAATACTACATATAACCTTAAAGGGACACTGACAGGGTATTCATGCTCGCTAACATTTTTATTCGTACATGACATATGAGAACCGAACTACCCAAAACATAATTTGCGGCTCAAAATTAGTTTCTCTCTGCCCAAATACAGCCGATTGAGAAAAGGTTGGTTTGAGTCGCGCTCAGTCTCTCCTCCGTGGTCTTATGCCGTTTTCTATGGCTCAAGCACAACCACCAAAAAGAATCAAAAGTTGGGGGGTCATCAAAGGGACACACTCAATACTAGACATAGACAAAAAATATAATATCCATTTTTTTGTGGCTTCCAAAAAACTGCAAATATGTTGATTAAAAAAAAAAAAAGTTACACAGTCACGTGACGTTTGGTAATTTTCTGCTCCTTCATATTTCTTCTTCCTCCCCAGTCCAGTTTCGGTTTCGAGCAGTTGCGTTTGTTCACTTTATTAAACCTATATGGGACACTGTAGCAAAATATTGATTGGGTAGTCTTCCGACACCTGGCAAAACGTAAACAAATTTTTTTGGGGGGTGTCAGTGTCCCTTTAATTACAGACCATTAGAACTTGTAGACTCTTTTAAGTATCTAGGTGTCATTCTTAGCTCTGGCCTCTCTTGGAACCTACATGCTACTTACATCAGTAATAATGCTAACCGCACGCTTGGGTATCTTAAACGTAACTTTTTTTTTGGCCCCATCTTCACTAAATTATTTCTTTAAAAAACATTAGTGCATTCCAAGCTTGAATATGCAGCCTCCATCTGGGATCCCTGTACGACTTGCCTTGCTAACTCTATCGAATCCATACAAAACAAATTTGCATGTTTTATCCTGAGTAATTATAACTGCACCGCAAGTGTCACATCAATGAAACACATTTTACTTCTACCCAGTCTCACTCATCATCGTAGAATTACTAACATTTGCATTTTTCACGAAACTTTTCAGCACAACCCGCTATGTTGAAGTCGGTTATTAACCCCACCATCATTCCTTTCAGCTCGTCTGCATCACCAGAACAAAGTGGGGGTTTCATCTTGCCACTATAATAAATATTTTAACTCATTCATCCAGAGTCACAAAAGAATAGAACCGGTTACCTTCATCTCTTACATCAGATGTTAATAGTGCTCTGTTTCAATCAAGTGTTAGTGACCATGTTTTTCCAACTGTTTAACCCTTGCTTTTCTGTTGTTTGTTTCTTTTGTGTTTTTTACCACTCCCCCTGTAACGCCCTACGGCCTTGAGGGTAAAAATAAATAAATAAATAAATATTGGTCGACAGGAATGTAGGCAACCTGAAGCTTTTAAAAGATTAGGTGAAAAGCACAGTTAAAAAAAGCACAAAATCAAATAAGCATTCATATATCTCCCAGAAATGATAAGCGTTATATCTTTTGAGCAGCATGCCAGTTAATGTCACATCCTTTTCAGTAGATTTCTCTGTTGCAGTTTATTCAGTGGAAAACGGAGTGTCCCCTCCTGTTGCAACATTATGCAAACTGTCGTAGTCGCTACTGCGGAGGGCATTGTTAATTGTCTCAAGATTTTGGAAGGCGTGCAGCCGACAGTCGTTTTGTGTCCTCTCCGCGTCTTTGAAAGCACAGAAGGAGAAAAGGGACAAAAAGAAAAGGCTCGCACAGATTCCTACACCAACTCGCGCGCACTTCGACAGTTGTTTTGTTTGTTTTTTCGTTGGGCGGGAACATTTGGATTTGGGAGTTTGCCTAATATTGTTTGCACCGAGACCCCGGCTCTTTGATTAGTCTGCTTCCCCCTTCTGCGTGGGCAAGCAAGCTGATGAGTTACAATTTGCAAAGAACCAGGGGGAACGGTGGCCGAGTGGGCTAACGTGTCTCAGCTCGGAGCGTGGAATGAAAGCGTGCGCTGCAGAACCTCCTGGATTAGAATGCCACACCCCGCCCGTTTCGATCTGGATGAGTTTCGCACCGGCACGTGTTTGTGTAATCACTACTGCGTGATGCACGTTAAAAACCCCAGGTTAGCAGCTGTACTGCACCAGCTAAATTTCTCATCTACTGCTCAACGGCAAGTCACCCGGTGAGGTGCACTAGCATCAAGGCTGTCTAAACATACGAACACCACAATATTAAAAAAAAAAAAAAAAATCAGATTCTGAAAACTGTTTTTTACGTCACGTGAAGAAAGGCTTTTAGGATCTGAACTGAAGAACGCCAGTTGACAGCGTAATTCCGGTAAAACCTACCCTTACTAAAAAAAAAAAAAAAAAAAAAAACTTTAATGACGTTTTTTGCAATAAAATGCTTAGATGGGCCAGTTGGTACATCATATTTCCCACGTTTTTTTGGTTGTCGGTGTTTTATAATCTTGCTTTTTTTCCCCCGTGAATGAAACCGAAATTGTAACGGACTACAATCATTCCCTTACGTAAATAAACAAGGAAATTACTTTACAATTACTTTGTAAAATGTGTGATTATTCCCTTACAAAATTGCAAGTAATTGCGTTACTTGTAACGAATTACGTACAAGTCTGATAGGATAAGCATGGTTGTTTCGAACACTCAACCGTACCTCAATGTTATACATCGATCCAGAGCGTATTTGAAGATTTCCAGCTCGGAAATCCTTCCTTCGGACAAGTCTCACTAGTCCGGAGCGAGTGCATTCACAGTTATATGGCACCACCTAAAGCAACAAGGTTCAAATGAACTTCCGCGTTCTGTCACTATGTTTAATGACGGTACGCGCTTGAAATGTTGCAAGCCATCCCATCAACTGTACGCCGTAGTACGTGACAGCGTGAAAGTTCATAATCCTTGGGGTAAACAACGCTATGCGCGGGCGCCAAAATAACTGTTTACCATTGGGCGTCGCTGAAATCCGTCGCTCACGATCGCTTTCCAGATCCGAGAGAAACGTGATGAGGAGCTTGACTGTGTAAACAGCGAACACCACAACAGCCCCAGACGTCGCGAGGGTGGCCAGTTGTTGGAACTTCATCGGAGCGTTGAGATTCCAGCTCGAAGGAGGATCTGTTTTCAAAGCGTCACCTGTCCATTTTGAGACTGAAGCTTTTGTGCGAACAGCTGAAGGGTTGGATCACATCGGATATTATTGGCTGCTCATGTGGATTCCTTCAAATTCTGTCAACTATCGGTATCGGAGAGCAGCCAACCGCTGATAGGTACAATTTTATATAAAGTAATAAATTGAACGTTAAATTGTATAAGAAAATAGTGAAAACAAGCTAAAATAGGAATTTTTTTGTCAAACACGAACATTAAATTTTGTTGCAACCAAAATATAACAAAGCTGCCGAATCGGGGCGCAGCGGGACGCAATCGGCGTTCAAAATGGCGTCGGTAAGTTGTGCGTCCCTTGTTTTTTAAACATTATTCGCGCTCAAAGCGTATTTAAAGCAACATTTCTGTGCGAAACACTGACCGATAAAATTCCCCATATCTTCTGGACTACGTAGCATCAATATTAGTTTAATTTTATTAACTACGCAAGTAGTAATCGGACAATACGCACCGGCGTCAATCGCCTTCACGTGGTCGTGAGTCAAGTGAGCTGCGCGGACTTGTTTGACGATTTTCAAAATCTCTTGGAATGACGAGTATCGTTCGGTCTGACTGAACGTTAATCAAGTTCGCTGCTCGAACATACAGAGACGTCTCATTTGATGTTTCCGTCTGCACCTTCGTTGTAACGGTAGGCGGGCAAGTATTCGCGACGTTTTGATTTCGTGTCGTCAGCTCGCTTCTTCTTTCTCGCAAAGGCGGCTGCAGCCAAAGTTCAGGAGGTCCGGGAAATCACGAGGATCGAGCGGGTCGGAGCCCACTCGCACATCCGGGGCCTCGGACTCGATGACTCCCTGGAGCCTAGGGCGGTGAGTTCCTTCAGCTAGTTCGATGAGCTGCTGAGTTCGAAATAGCAGAAAACATATGCAGACGAGCTGGTGAACCTCTTGAAAACCCGATACTTAGAAACAAAGGGGACTCTCGAGTGTGGGAATTCGTGCGTGGGGCAAACTGGGCGTTGCATTAACGACCGGATAGCGGAGCATAAGAGCTGTGGCTTCAAACTCGGCAAAACCTTAGAGCATATGCAGAGGTTGTGCCCCCGTTTGGAATGACGCAAAAGTATTAGCGAAAGAAAGTGACAATGCTAAAATAATTTTGATTGAAGCTATTAAAATAAGCAGTAAACCAAATTGTATATAAGCAACCTGTGGACGAGGCAACAAAAATATTTTTGGAGTTGCCCCATAAGAAAAGAAGTACAATTATTGGGTTTTACATGCCAAACCAACGAAGGGCGTCTGGCACACCCTAGCGGTGGACTGAGGATTAATTTGGACTTTCTGGGGATCTTTTGACATGCAACCGAAAGATTGGTTACACGGTACCTTCTCCGCAAAAAGCCTCCGTCGGATTGCGAGCACCTTGGCAGATATTCGAACCCGCCACCTGGGGATCCGTAGGCCGGCGCTGTGCCTCCGAGCCATTGGGGCTGCAAAAGGTTTTGCCCCGTTTTCTCTTTCTTTTATTCCCATTGTGAATTATTTTTTGGGTCAAGTTGCAATCACTTGCATGTTTTTTTTTTTTTTTTTTTTTAATTTCTTAAAGGTGTGGGTACCAAATAATGAAAAATTTTTTTGCTTATGCAATGTAGAAAGTTGGATCAACTGTTGTTGTTTGGAAACCTAGGCCTATGGACGCAGGAGGTGTGCATTATGGGGCATAGGAACACCAGATGTACCATTTTTTAGACCACCTGAGACTGGGTGGAAGAAGTCTCAGGTGGTCTAGAAAATAGGTAAACCTACACAAGCTTGCCTGTGCCTTAAAGGGACAATGAAGACGATTTTATTTAATTTTTTTTAAATGGTGTTTTAATGCTTCTTGGGAACATAGCATGCTGCCCATTTTTTTGTAGACAATTGTGACGCATATTTATGTGCCTACGAAAGACGTAAAGAAACCGAAACTGAACAATCTCCATTCTTGTTTCTGGGCCTCCGAAAACGGAGGTGACGTAGGAGTGACGTCAAGTGTGAATAGTCTGTATCGGTAGTATTTAGGAGATCGAGACTCTGGTTACAGCGGTGGGTTATAGCAGCGCGGTGGCGCAGTCGTTTCGCCGAATCTGTCAACATGGACGGCAATGCCGCTCTCGCGAGCGAGTTTAAGCTTCCATTGAGTGACCGAACACCAACGAAACGGGAGTATGTGTGTGGCGGCCTCTGCCATCACCCGACGAAGACCACCCAGCCGGCAAAGAGCGGCCCGCATGCCGAAGGACGGACGCGGGGGAGATGCCGAGGGGAAAGCGGCAGCAATCCCGCCGTCCCGGGATCCAATTCCTCCGCGGACGTCCTTTTTTCATAGTCAAAGAACACGAACAGAAACCCACACGTGAAAACTAGCGTCGCCCGAACGAATACTGGTCTTCAGTCGACCGTTAGAACAGCCATCTACAGCTACCATTTTGCAAAATCTTTCGAGTACCATGTTCTTTTTTAATTTTATTTTGTTTAACCATAGTTGCTCGCTGCCGGTTTCGCGTCCAGCGTAGCAAAGAAAAAAACAATGATGCTGCTTTATTTACGGTTTAGTAATTATTTCCGGTCCGATTTATACTTTTGATGGTTATTCAAGTGGAAATTAGAACAGTATTTCTAAAAATCGCGAACCAAAACGTGATCGAGGGCACGTTTTTCGTTTCGACCAATCGCTGACGCGTCTCTTGTGACGTCGCGCTTGTTGGCCCTGCATCGGTCACGTGAGCTCCGCTTCTCCTGGCTTCTCCCGCAACTCTTGGGGCGTCGCCCCAGTCGATCCCGGTACGATTATTATCGCGACTGTTTAATTGACTTGCGCGGCACACAAGCGCCGGTTTCGGCTGAATTTTGGGCAACGTGGCCTGAGACGTGCCTGGAACCCAGTTCAATCGCCAAAAAGGTCTCCGAAATTGCCTTCATTGTCCCTTTAACTGTTTTTTCACCAGATGTACCTTCTCTAGGGAGCCAAGAGATGAGTGTGGATTAGGATAAGCTGGTCTCTGTGCCTTTCAAGGTTGTGAACAGGTGTCGGGGAGAGAGGGGAAAACTTGTGGGATGCTGTAATGATGACTGACTTCCTGCATCTGAAGCTGGGCGGTTGGGGGTTGTTTTATATAAACAAGGAAGTGGTCGCAGCTGTATTTGAGACTCCTGTGTGTGTTGTCCCGTTTTTTGTCCTCAACTCTCGGGGTTTTCAAGCTGCTTAGTTTTCTATATTCGGCCAGCTTTAGACATGGTAATTTTTTAGCAGCAGCACGGGTTTCCTGCATTCACGTGCGGCAACTGCTGAAATGAATTGCTATGTCTCATTATCATTAAAATTTCTGTTTTCTTTCAAAATTTAAATGCAAGCTTACTCGTTAGCGATGTGTTTTTATATTGTTATATGTTTCTGAGAATACTGACTGAGCTTCCTGCAACCGTTTAGTTGCAGAAACAATTAATTTCGAACCAGAACCAAGTTGATGGGGTTGTGCGACGGCATTGGGGATAGGGATGTTTCTTACAGGCTTACTGGCATTAGCGGGAGAAAAGTATACTCGCGCGCAACGCCACTGAGCAAGAGGCTTCTTTGTAGCCGCATAATTTTGAGGATAAGAGTGGTCATTTTCTTTCAGTCTCTCCTTTATAAAACTTGGCGACAAAGTTGTGGGGATTACATTGTTGGCATTATCAACAGTGCGAACCCCACAGCGACAATGCAGCTCATACAGTGGACACAAGCACTGCCCGAGCATTCGATTTGTGCTCGTGACAATCAATACCTCAACCTGCATTCGGGTAGTGGTTTGTGTCCATCATTGAAATGACGGGATTAGCGCAATCTCAACAATGTAATACTCAAGCATGTGTCCTGTCCTTTGCCAACTCCAGCGGGTGTCTATGATAAACGTTGGCGGCGTGTAATCGGCTCCAGATCATGTGGCCGCTTGTTCTGGCTGAAAGTTGAGGAAATGAATGCCGCTCGTTTTTTCTAACCTTTTCTGCCATTGTGTGGAGAAAAAAAAAATCGAATGTGTGTTTTATAGGTTAGGGATGTCACAGAATAAATCTATGCGGTATTTATTGAAAGACCAAAAATCGTTGCGTGACATATTCAAACCTTGTGCGTAGTTGGCATCACCACCACCGCAAAGGGGGTCATGTAAAAATATTGTCCCTGATTGGCTGCTAAGGTCTCAGATTTGTTGGAGTTGCTCACCCGTTTCGAGCCGGACTCGATTTGAGCAATTTGCGTTGCAGCCCGTGGATGCTGGGAACAGCTTGCCAGCAATCCCTATATTTCTGGGAACATTGTGGCGTCTGATGTGGGCCTTGGTTAATTGTTCGTGTGACCCTGCATCACCAGTGTAAAATTGCTGCAAGGCAGCAGAAATGTAAGTTTCGCAGGTCTGTCTTAGCAGTGGGTTTTTCCTTACTGAAATTACAAGTCAAAAATTGATTCCCGTAAAAAAAAAAAAAAAAAGGGTACAAAGTTTTATGACATTTTAATGCTGCAATCAGGCTTCAAAGTTCAAAAATGGTGTTCAGTATTGAGTACTTAGTTGCACCAAAACAATTTTGTAGGAGGGCAGTCGCTCCCACAGAAATCATCCCAGGCGCAGTTGGAAAACTAAGCAAAGGTTTGTTGCTCATTTGACATGGGTAACTTGCGGCTAAACGGCCCCCAGTGAGAATGAGAGCTTTCTTGGCCGGTGATCGAACATAATGTCACATTTTTCTGCTTGGCAAGTGTTACCGGCTATATAGAAAGTTTAGACCCGTTCGTGAGTCCAGAATTGAACAGCGTTTTGGTGAGAGCTTCTCATGAATACTTGGGTGGCGAGAGAGAGCTCTCTTAGCCTCTGATTAGCTTGTCCCAAGTGCTCCTTCATTCGCCAGTAGACTTCAGCTTGTGTACGGCAGCAGATCAACTTTAGATTTCATAAAATCGCGTGTTGTTGACGACTTCCTATGTGAAACAGCCGACGACGACAATTTTACCCCGTGTCCGATCTCGCTTCACTGTGGCACTTTCTTCCTAAAAGAGGATCCACTTTTTTTCGGTTCGTTAGCACATGACGTTTAACATTCTTTTATTTAATTTTCATCCGTAAATGTTGCTTCATCGCTGAACAACCTCGTTTTCCGCTCGCACTAGCAACGAGCTGTCTGTGAACAATACTTCTGCTCGCTCCTTGAGGGTCATGTCGGATTCTACTCTTGCGGCAACCGAGACCAGGCCTGCTGTTCCTTGTGTGACTGCTTAGTCACGCTTCAAGCTGTCTCTCGCTTGCCAGCTAGGTGGCGCAAGCTGTTGCCTGGCTTGGGGGCATGGTTGCATTCATCTGTCCGTGTGGTCGCTGTCTCGCAGGTGTCCCAGGGGATGGTGGGACAGACGGTGGCCCGACGGGCAGCTGGCATCATCCTGGAGATGATCAAGGAAGGCAAGATCGCCGGGAGGGCGGTCCTCATCGCCGGTCAACCGGGCACGGGAAAGACTGCCATTGCCATGGGTGAGGACGAAAAGGGGGCTCATGTCTAGCATTACTATACTTAGTTTCATCTTAAAGGCTGCCGTATGCTTTGCGCTTTTCCTGACTACCTCCTTTCCCATATTCTCTCCACCTTTCAGCTTGCTCCCCTCTCAGTTTAGGAGAGGAGGGCGCTAAAAGGATCATGTTTTCTGCAGAAACTGGGGGTTGTACATTGACCGTTAAAGGGATGGTGAACCGAAATTTGGATTTCAAAAAAACAATGCAGGAGATGTAGGCGGGACGCTACAATCCTTACAACACTACTCGTAAGGCGGTATCTCGAATGGACGGCCGTATTTTTGGAAAAAGAGGTCGAGATTGAACCAGGCTGACGAGGCGCGTGACGTCAACCTATCTCGTTTCCTCCTCTCTTCACTTCGCTCCCTCAAGACAGCAAGGTGGAGAAGATACGAGGTCGTTCCCTCTCTTTCTTGGAGAAACATGACGTCAACATTTCTGCCAAATGCGCCTTCTTTTTTGAAAAATACGGTCATCCGTTCGAGATATCGCTGTATGAGTGAAGTTTTTGTGTTTGTAGCATCCCGTTGCACGCTTTTGCCGCGTGTTTTGAAGAATCCAAATTTTGGTTCAGCATCCCTTTAAGGGGGGACACTACCTTAAAATTGCACTTTTTTAGAAAAAAAAAAAATATTTTTCCTATTTTTCTGTATTGTGGTTCCACAACTAATGGTGTATACTCCTGCAAATTTTTATTGCAATATCTGAAGCATTTACGGAGAAGTAAAGCATTTTCGGTAAGCCGACGATGCAAAATCACGTTTTTACTAGAATGGAAAGTTGGGCGAGTTGGTATGAAATCATTTTGAAAAACAGCGCGAATATCACACGGACAAGAGGGAGGAACACACAGGACGAGCCTCGTCCTGTGTGTTCCTCCTTCTTGTCCGTGTGATATTCGCGCTGTTTCACATGTTCTTGAAGCGTAAAACTTCTGTTTCCTGTTTTCGAACTGCTGTAGCTTTGCACCGGTATGCCCTAGAATGATGATCATACTCTTGTTGGAAAGAGCAGTTCTTCACAGTTTCAGTACATTAAATATCTTTGTTCGAGAGTAAACTCTATTTGCGCAAGAACGCCATAGAAGTCCACCTTTCACAAAGAAGAGGCTATGCATATGGCCAAGCATCGAAAAGCCCACCTTGATTGACCAAAAAACTGACTAAAACCAGCATTTGTTTATAGAACGTCCCATAGGTTTGTCTGCTTTGTATTTCGATGATGCTTGCCCCGCCCACACTTGCTGATGTTGGTTCGTGTATTGCAAGCATACCCAATTCCTCACTCATTTCACAATCAATGTCCACATGCCAACAACAAAATGACACTCGAAGAAAGCGTTTTAAGCTCAGACTCACTCAAGGTTGGGCGTAAGCAGAAGGCACCACCTACGCTCTTGGTGCTTTTTATTGCGACCACCGCCAGTAAAAGCAAATGTAGTGATGTGGGAATTTCAAACAGGTTTTTCCTAGTTTAATTTTTTTGCAGTTTCAATGAATCAGTGAATGTATTCTTTGCTGTGGATGTTTTTGAACTGAAATTTAATGAGGAAGGGGGCTAGATATTTATTTTTCTATTTAAATAAAGCTCTTATTGCCAAAAAGTAGAGTTGTGATCAGGAGAAAATGCCCCATTATGTGGAATGCTTTTCAAAATGACATTTTGCATAGAAAATACACGGATTTTAAGGTAAAAAAATAGATAGCCCCACCCACCATATGTTCTAGTTAAGGATGAAGCTTAGAAATGCTCAATATTCTCCAGCAATTTTATAAGGTAGATTTCCTTGCCAAGTGAGGCGACTTACATTAATGGGACCGTTCGGCTGGGCCAGGGGGCGTGCTGGAGCAATACCAGTGGCGTTGCGCCGTGGTCCGAATTCGCCCTACTTAGCCGTTTGCTCGTCCGGCTCGTCCCATCGCGCTGCCAGTTGCAATGGCGGGCACCGCGTTAAAGCTTTCTGTCCGTTAAAAAACTGTGATCATTTTTAGGGAGGCAAACCTTCGCAAAGAAAGGTTGCCTGTGTGTTAGGTCTCCGGGGTGGAGCAAATAATCCAGGCATAGGAATATTTGTTGTTTGCGAAGTATGTCTCGCAAGTACCAGACAGCGTCGGCTGTAACATCCGCCTCGAGATAAATGCTCTTTTTCTTTATGGTTTCGCTAGCTCTTCAAAGTCAGGGCTATTCGGACAAAGATGAGGATGCAATATTGTTTTAATTGTCTTTTCGTGCACAGCTGCGCTGTCGCATACACACCTTGAACTAAGTCAGTTCTCGGAGTTACCGGCTGATGGAAGCATGCCGCGCCAGTTCCAATTCATCCGAATGAAGTTAATGACGAGGCACGTACAGCTTGATCGCAACACTGGGTCAAGTTCTAATAAAAAACCAAAACGGTACGTCAATAAGGCCTCCGCTTTTATTTTGAGCGGGTCCAACAAAATATATATATATTACTAAGTGCCGCAACACCTTGCTGTGTTTGCGCGCCTCTGTCGCTGCCGTCAAAGCGGTACAATCGCAATTCATGTGCCTGCGTGCGTCAGTAACCCACATTTAATTTTATTAGTGAAGAGAGGGATTTCTAATCGACTTGCATTTGTGTTGTAAAGCGTCCCCTTTTTTTTCACGTATTTTTATGTGACCGCAGAATGATAATTTTGAAGACTGTTCCGGTTCACAACAAATAAAACATTTTGCGTCTTTATTTGTTTTGTTTGCTGTTTAGGTACAATTAAACTTGATATATCTTGAGTCTGTGTGCCAGGAGAGCATCGTCAATATTCCTTCATTCTCTCTCTCTGCAAGAAAAGATTACTTAATTTTAAATTTCAGTCATGAGTGCTTAGTTACTTACCTTTGTGACGTGCCCTGTCCTCGTCCTCTTTATTTTGCTTTCAATTTATACATCTAACATTGCCAATACACTCTTATTGGTTGACCGAGGAATGTCCTGGTTTGATGTTGTAGAGTTACTTGGAGAGTAATTATGCCTGTTGTAGGTTAACTACATCATTTTAATAATATAAAAAAAAAAGAACTAGAGCACGGCCGTCAGTGTAAATCTCTTTTCAACTATGCGCTCAAGTCGGTGCTCAATACGGGCTACGATTATCTGCCTCATTGGCCCTCATGTCTTTCGCTGCTTACTCGCCTTCTCTTGTAAGCATCAGGGGACAAAATTGATAGAAATTACTGTGAGAGTGCAGGCGAGCCGGTGTGTATATTAACAATTTGGATGAGTTGCCCGAGACTGGGGCGAAAAAACTAGAAATATCAACCGTGCATGGGAGATACTTCTTTCTGTCCACGGTTCATGTTTCTAGTTTTCTCGACCCAGTCTCCACTAATTTATCAAAATGGAAAATTGGCTAATAAGCAAGGTGAGCTGAGTTCTCAAATTTAAACTTGTTTAAAAAATAGTAACTGCATAATCGGGTTTATTTTGTTGACACCCACGGGGAACCCTCCTAGCTATTACATTAGGAACATCTAACATTGCCAACACGCTCAAAATGGTCGACCCAGGGATGTTCTAGTCTAATTTTGAGAGGCCCTTGGAAAGTAATTATACCTGTTGTGGGCTAACTGCATTATTTTAATATTATATAAACAAACTTGAATACAGCCGTCAATTTCTGTTCAATTATGCGTTCGAGTCAGTACGCAGTAGGGGCTACGATTATCTGCCTAATTTTCCCCCAAGTCTGTTGCCGCTTACCCGCTTTCTCTTGTTAACATCGGGGAACAAAATGGGCGGGCAAGCAAAGTGAACTTGGTTCTCAAATTTAAAGGCTTTTATAAAAAAATATGGTAACTGCATATTCGGGTTTCGTTTGTAGACAGCCATGGGGAACCATCGTAGCTATTATATTAGGGACTTATCGTAGAACCTCAGTGTCGGATTGCGGGCCCCACGAGCGCCAGCTATACCGCCCTCAATCAACGCAAAACTCCTGCATGCTCTCGCGTGCGACCTACGAAAAGTCCCTAAATGCGACAAGCAAGCGTAGCTGCATTACTGAATCACGCGACAAGATAGAGAAACAATAATTAAACCTGTCCTCCGCACAGCTGGCGATTCATGCTTCTGGCGATCTTTCTTGAATCACCTCCCAGGAACCAAACAAAACTTTTCAGGAGGTGGATACCTTTCTGTTTAATACGATGCTGTGACATTTGGTACCTTTTGCATTCGGTACATTACTTTACGAAGCGCGAGGTCAGCACGACAAGCGCACCAGCCTCCCGGGTCGTCTGCTCCTCGTACTTCTAACAAGTATCGGCGCGCCTCACCAGGGGGAGGAGTGGCGCTGCGAATGCGCGGCAAAACTTCAGCCGCACAGCCCTATAGCTGTGTACCTCCCCCTGTAGCTTATTCGAAAATAGTCCTACGGAGATGAAATTTCGTAGTGCATTTAGGCAACGAGACGAACAGACCCTTCAAATTTATTCAATATTGAGCAACTGGTTTAAAAGTTGAGACATGAAGGTGGTGTCACCCCTTAAAGAAACAATGAAATTAAAAGTAATTTTTTTAAAAAGAGCTCAACGTGGACACATGCTTAAAAAACAGTTTTTCCCATAAATTTTTTTGTTTAGTATTTTTATGTTGCTAGATGCAATTTAGGCGAAAAAGGTAGAAGTCACGACCTGCTAAGCCTAACGATGTGGGTGTGAACCTTTGTTAGAGCGCACAAGGTTTCTTAAGAGAGGGATTGAGAAAATGAAAAGGGAGATAATCGAAACTTTCTGTATAAACAAAGTGGCTGACAAATGCGTAAGCATGCCATCCCTTCATCTGCTAAACAAAGAAGTTGTGTTTCTTGAGGGCTGCATGTGACAAGTGGTAGGAACTTTATCTTGCTGCTTGTGTTTAGGCGATGGGGTTCGACAGCGTGACAGTGTTTCGTGTTTCATTAAGTCAGTTGGAAGTTGGCACTTGTTTGTGTCTTATGTGTGTCTTTTTTCGTCCTGTTCAATTCGCGCCTTTTAAACTTTTAATCAATGCCTAGATTTATTCAGAAGAGCACCTTTTTTTGCTCGTGTTCAGCCTTATATACACCTTTATTGCTCCATGATTTTTTCATTTAAATTCTAAGCAAATGCACATCAAAAGCATCAAAAGATAGACAAATGTTAAATAAAGAAGTATTTTTGGGATTATTTTTGTGAGAAAGGTTCAAATTAAATTTTCTTGTTTGATTTAAATTGCGATTCAAACCACAATTTTAGTCGCAATTTAAATAGTGTTTATTAATATTCTCTGCCCTGCGCCTTATGGACCCCAAGGTCCTCGACCATCAGTGGGACTGAGAAATAATACTTTTTTTCTTATCAGTGCTGGCTTCCCCAGAAAGCCGAATTAACCAAACTATGTTTGCTAGGTAAGTAGGGTTGTTGTGGTCCATTTCTTAACCTGAAAGTTCACGAATTTAGTTTTCGTCTTTTACCCTTTTGTCATTTTAATCGTCCAATATCCCCCTCCTTGTCGTCAGAAGAGCCCTCCAACGCACCAGTAGTTGTGTAAAGATCTCTTTTGTCGGCGAGTTGTAATGAATCTACCAAAATGCATCGTGCGTGCAGGGAGATTTCTTTGGAAGTCTAGCAAGCAATGATTTTAAATGTTTAAATACCGACAGCAATGCAAGAATGCATTTTATTAACGGAACAAGCTATTTTCTGAAACAATACGACGCAAGTAATGGCCTTGTTCATTTTGTTCACCCAAAAGCGCGAGGAAGGGTAGCTAATAATGATAGTGTCGCCTAATGTGCAGCACGTGCCTCCCCGCCCCAGAAACCACATGGAGGAGCCTACTCCGGAGCAGAGTTCTACAATCTAATTATTTATTAGCATTGTTTGTTTTGCCTACGGCAGTGCTCCCTAAACTCTGCTACCCATCAAAACACAAAATATTACGACGGTTCGACTTGTAGACCAGGTAACGTGGTGCTTTTAATTAGTTACTTTACGACCCTGGTCCAGTGGCGGAGCGAGAAATAGCGCTGACCCTGTGTGACGACGCATGCTTGCAGGCATGGCCCAGGCCCTGGGTCAGGACACTCCCTTTACGGCGATATCGGGGAGCGAGATCTTTTCCCTCGAGATGTCCAAGACGGAGGCCCTGATGCAGGCTTTCCGGAAGTCCATTGGTGTCCGCATCAAGTGAGGTCCCCTTCCACTTTCTGGTCAACTTGAAACCCTAGAAGTCTTTTGTTAAGGGGTGCTATAGAGGTGTCTGAGATCGTCTATTTACGGTCGTAACTCTATCGATGGCCTCTAAGTATTCTAGGAAACCCAAGTCAAAGATCACTTCGTGCTTGTTTTTCTGCGATTCAATGCAGAAATTGAACGGCGCCATCGGGTGTGTAACAGCCAATTGCGAGCGATTGTTTCCTCGCCCGAATGCGTGCAATTTGCACATGGGAAGCGATCACTTGCGATTGGCTATTGCACGTCCGATGGTGTTCTCTGGTTTCTGCACCGAACGGCACAAAAGCATTTGTGTCTTGATCTTTGATCTTGCTTTTAGTGGGAAAATTGGACGCATATTCCTCTAATCTATGGTTTTTTAGAATTCTTAGAGCCCTTAGATTGAGTTGTGACCAGAAATAGAGAATCTCGGAAACCACTTGAAGAGACCTAGATCAATTCAGTGGAACTGTGTGGGAAGTTTGAGTTAGGCGTGAACCGCATGAAGTGTTCTTGCGTGCCTCAACGTCGGCGTGGCATCATTTCATACGCGTGCTTGCTCGTTTTCAATAACATGCCTGCTTCTGGCGAAGTAAAAAAATAATTGTGCGCACCGTACGCTGGAAGTAGGTCGCTGCTCTCGCCAACAAAAATGGGGCCAACAATATCATATAATTTGAGCGCCCTTTTTGCAGCAAGGGCATGGTGCGTGCTGCTTGCGTGACTGGTTCGGCGTGCAGTTTCGTACACGGCGATATCAGTGGAATTAGTGCTGTTTGAGACAGCATTATTTATAACCTAAATATAAAACACGAGTCTGCTGTGACACGTATGTCAATTTGAAACTCTTGCTTATGAATTTGACGATAATTGTATTATAGTATCTTCATGCTAGTGCACCTGCATCGGTGCTTGCGGATGCGTTGTCAATCTTTGTGTTTTCATGAGCAGAAGAACACTTCCTGCGGGTCATGCTTTAGACAGAAAGTTCAGAGATGTGTCGGGTATTTAGTGTATACGGGTATATACTGTCACGGGTGGTGACCAAAATAAAAGGAAATAAACGGGAAGAAATAAACGTCTAATGTGGCGAACTTGTGCCAAAAAATAAAGGGAGAACAAAGATAATAACAGAGCGTCGCGGGCGTCGAAGTCGGCGTAGCAGCACAGTCGAACGCTGGAGCGAAACTGACTCCGGCTTGCCTGCGGAGCCGCTTTTGTACACACATTGGCTTCTGGAGCATTCGACGTAGAAGGTTCGACGCGCAGAAAATTCTGACCTCGAATCAGCTAGACGGTTCTCGATTTCACCAGAACATCACATTACAGTGTTAACAAAAATGCATAGCCGCGGCCAGGAATCGAACCCTGGCCCTTCGCGTGGGAGGCAAGCGCGATAACCGTTAGGCTGCGGCCGCGCTGCCTACTTGGCGCGCGGCATTACTCCCCCCTTAAAAAGTGCATCGCCCCGATGCATTTCAAAACAAAACAAAGCACATAAAAAGAACGGTAAACTAAAGAGTCACTTGAAACACATAAGATTCACAGTCCTATCGAGCGTAGTACGGCTTCAGGCGCACGACGTGGACGACTTCAGGTCGTGGTTGGCGGCGTGATGATCTTGTTCCGTCGGGCATCACCTCGTAGTTCAGCTCGCCGAGGCGACGAAGTACCTTGTATGGTCCAAAGTACCGTTTCAGCAGTTTCTCACTGAGGCCGCGGCGACGGATGGGCGTCCACACCCACACCCTGTCTCCGGGCTGGAAGTGAACATCCCTGCGACGAAGGTTGTAGCGGCCCGCGTCGACGCGTTGCTGGTCTTGAATCATGAGTCGGGCGAGCTGGCGGACTTCTTCGGCACGTTGAGCAACCGCCTGGGCGTCGTCGCTCTCATTGTCAGATGGCTCATGGGGCAGCATTGCGTCCACCATGGTCGTTACCTTCCGACCATGTACCAGCTGGAAAGGGGTGAATCCAGTGGTCTCCTGAACCGCCGTATTGTAGGCAAACGTGACGTAGGGCAACACCTCGTCCCACGTCTTGTTCTCTACGTCGACGTACATAGAGATCATATCGGCGATTGTCTTGTTGAGTCGCTCGGTCAGCCCGTTGGTCTGCGGGTGGTATGCAGTGGTTCGACGATGGCCGGTGCCACTGAGACGAAGGATCTCTTGCATCAGCTGGGCCATGAACGAAGATCCGCGATCTGTAATCAGAACTGCGGGTGCGCCGTGCTGGAGGACGATGGACTCGATGAAAAGCTTGGCGACTTCCACAGCAGTCCCTGAAGGAAGGGCTTTCGTTTCGGCGTACCGCGTGAGATAATCTGTGGCGACGATGATCCAGCGGTTCCCCGACGTCGAAGGCGGAAAAGGACCAAGTAGATCCATTCCGATCTGCTGGAAGGGTGTAGTTGGAGGAGAAATGGGCTGCAGAAGTCCGGCCGGCCTCGTCGGCGGTTTCTTGCGTCGCTGGCACTCGTGGCATGATCGTGTGTATAGGTGGACGGTCTTGTGGAGCTTCGGCCAGTAATACTTTTCACGAATACGGGCCAGTGTCCGGCTGTAACCGAGGTGTCCGGATGTCGGGTCGTCGTGACAGGCTTGGAAGATCTCCTCTTGAAGGTCACTCGGGATTACCAGCAACCACGGTGTGTTGTTGTCGCCGAAGTTCTCTTTGTAGAGTACACCTTGTCAAATGGCGAAGGTCGGCAGTACTCGTGAGAAGACACGTGGCACGGTACTCCTGCCCCCTTCCAGGTGCTCGATTAATGCGCGCAGCTCAGGATCGTCCCATTGACGTCGTGCCATATCGTCGGTGTTCACTGCTCCTAGGAAGCACTCGTCGTCATTGTCGTCGCTGCAGCCGGAAGGGGTTTCGACGGGGGCTCTGGACAGGCAGTCGGCGTCGCTGTGCTTGCGGCCTGACTTATAGACCACTGTCATGTTGAACTCTTGTAGTCGAAGACTCCATCGAGCGAGGCGTCCTGACGGGTCCTTCAGGTTCGCAAGCCAGCAGAGCGAGTGGTGGTCCGTGACTACACGGAACGGGCTCCCGTACAAGTACGGACGAAACTTCGTTATTGCCCAGACGACCGCAAAGCATTCTTTCTCAGTCGTGGAGTAATTTTTTTCCGCCTTGGACAATGTCCGACTTGCGTAGGCGATGACTCGCTCGATGCCTTCTTGCACTTGGACTAGTACTGCGCCCAGTCCCGCGTTACTTGCGTCCGTGTGAATTTCTGTTTCCGCATCCTGGTCGAAATGTCCAAGCACAGGAGGAGTCTGGAGTCGTCGTTTCAGTTCGTCGAATGCCTGCTGTTGCTCCTCGGCCCATTCGAACTTCTCGGCGTCCTTCGTGAGATTCGTAAGTGGTGCGGAAATCTTTGCGAAATCCCGAACGAAGCGTCCATAATAGGCACAAAGTCCAAGGAATCTTTGCACGGCCTTCTTATCTGTCGGCGCTGGAAATGCCGCGACGGCGCGAGTCTTCTCGGGGTCTGGGCGGACGCCTTCGTTAGTAACCACGTGGCCAAGGAACTTCAGTTCGTCATAGGCGAACTGGCACTTTGACGGCTTGAGTGTGATTCCGGCGGTCTGAATGGCTTGAAGAACAGCTCGGAGTCGTCTCAAGTGCTCGTCGAAGTCAGCTGAAAATACTACGGCGTCGTCAAGGTAGACGAGACAACTCTGCCACTTCAGTCCTGCCAGTACGGTGTCCATGACATGCTGGAAAGTTGCTGGCGCCGTGCATAGTCCGAAGGGCATCACCTTGAACTCGTACAGCCCATCCGGCGTGACGAAAGCTGTCTTCTCTCGGTCCCGTTCGTCGACTTCGATCTGCCAGTAGCCGCTCTTCAGGTCCATCGATGAGAAGTATCGAGGGTGGCGCAGCCGGTCTAACGTGTCGTCGATGCGGGGAAGTGGGTAGACGTCTTTCTTCGTCACCGCGTTCAGCTGCCGGTAGTCCACGCAGAACCTAAGCGTTCCGTCCTTCTTCTTAACCAGCACGACTGGAGAGGCCCATGGACTGTTTGAGGCTTGGATGATGTCGTCATTCAGCATCTCTTGAACTTGCTGATGGATCACCTCCCTTTCCTTAGCGGAGACTCTGTACGGCGATCGATGCACAGGGCGCGCGTCATCCTCGGTAACGATGCGGTGCTTGGCAACCGCGGTCTGGCGCACCTTCGACGACGTCGCAAAGCAGTCACGGTATTCGGCGAGGAGGTTAACCAGCTGACGCTGTTTAGGGTCCGGAAGCTTAGGGTCAATGTCGAGCTGCGCTGGTGACTTACTGTCTTGCTGTGGCGGCGAGGATTCGTCAGTAATCGCGGTGATTTCGGCGGGGTTTCGGAGTTTCTCGACGTGGCCCACGGCTGCACCTTTCGTGAGGTGTTGCGTTTCGTTTCGGAAGTTCGTCACGAGGGCCACAGTCCGCCCATCCTGAAGTTCAGCTACTCCCCTTGCGACGCCTATGCCTCTTCCCAGGAGCAGTTGGAGGCTTCCCTCGAGAAGAACTTCGCCAGAGGAAGCTTCATCGATCCCGACAAGTACGAAAACACTCGACCGCGGTGGTAGGTTTACGTGGTTTGCGAGGACTCGGACCGTGGGTGACGTCGCTTGGGGTTCCTCCGCTGGTGGAGCAGGTTTTCGTAGCGTCAGCCGGTTTGTTCCGAGGTCGATGACGGCGCCATACTTGCAGAGAAAGTCCATTCCGAGGATAACGTCCCTCGAACAGTCATGCAGAACGACGAACTTGACAGGGCACGTTTCACCGTGGATCTCGACGCGAGCAGTGCATCTCCCGACTGGTGTGATGAGATGTCCTCCGGCGGTTCGTATTTGGGGTCCTTCCCACGGCGTCATGACTTTTCGAAGGCGGCGGGAGAGCCTCCCACTCAGGACTGAGTAGTCTGCTCCGGTGTCCACGAGTGCCGATGCGTCGTGGCCGTCGATGACGACGTTTAGGTTGTTGGACACCGTTGCAGGGGCGTCGTAGCGTTGCGTGACGTCGGGAGAGTGGGAGCGCTCCGGCGTTCTTGGAGGCTCTTTACTCGGGTCGTCTTCGGCAACGGCACCTCCAGGCGTTGCCGCACTTAGTTTTCCCGACGAGACAGGGAGGACAGGCTGTCACGGCGCGACCAACGGAAAGGCGACGCGGAACGTCGGGGGGATGGAGAACGGGAACCTCGTGGTGCGGTGGGCGCTGGTGACGGAGGGCGACGGAGATATTCTTCGATGTCCCTTGGTCGTTCTCCAAAACGAGGTCGACGGTCGTTTGGAGCGAATCCTCGCAGGCCGAGCTGGCGGTAGGGGCACCTCCGGTAAACGTGGTCAGCCTCCCCGCAGTGGAAGCACACCGGGCGTCCGTCATCCGTGCGCCACACGTCGGTCTTTCGAAGTCCACGCTGCTCTTGGCACGGTGCGTACTGCGGCGAAGAGACTTCTCGTTGGGGTGCAGCTGGGTACTGCCGAGCAATAGGAGGCTGCGGACGACGAACAACGGCGGCATAGGTCACAGCTGGTGGTTTCGGTGCGGCGTCGGCGAGAACGTCTGGCTGGAGCGCTTGCTGGACCTCTTCTCGAACAATCTCGGCGATCGAGAGTGAAGCTGGGTGTTCGGCGGCAGGTATCAGCTTCTTCAGTTCTTCACGGACGATGTCCCGGACTATTTCTCGGATCCCCGGAATATTGGTGCTGAGGGCGCAGCTTGACGGCGTGGGTGCAGCGACGGCAGGAGCTCGGTGGAAGTGAGCGGCTCGTGCTTGCAGGGCCCGTTCAATGTTGGTCGCCTCTGTTACAAACGTTTCGACGGTGGTCGGCGGGTTGCGGACGAGGCCTCCGAAAATGTCATCTCGTACGCCTCGCATCAGGATCCGCAACTTCTTTTCGTCGGTGGCTTGAGGGTCGGCGCGAGTGACCAGGCGCAGGACATCCTCGACGAAACTGGTGATGGTCTCGTTTGCGCCCTGGGTTCTCATTCGAAGAAGGTCCTCGGCCCTCTCCCGTCGATACTGGTTTGTGAAAGTTCGCCTCAACTCATTCTTGCAGGCGGTCCACGAGATCAATGATGTCTCCCGATTCTCGAACCAGTGCCTGGCCGTTCCTTCGAGTGCGAAGTAAAGGTTCTGCAGGCGCTGGTCGTCCGTCCATCGGTTGTGCTGGGCCACCCGCTCGTACTGTTGAAGCCAGTCCTCGACGTCTTCGTGGGCGTCCCCGTGGAATGGCGTCGGAGTCCGGGGTGCGACTGGCAGGTAGATGAAGGCAGGAGCGGCCGGGGTCTGTGACTGCTGGCCGTCCATCGTCGGCTTCGTCGGCTGCTTGGTCCTGGGTGGCAGAAGTCCGTATTCCGGGTGCAGACCTTGGGTGCGGCGACTGGTCCGCGTTTCAGGTTCCGCGTCGAGTGGTGTTCTCACGGGGCTCGGAATCGGGCTTGCACTGCGGGCCCTGGGAGGGTAACGCTGCACGGGCATGCGCTACCCCGCACCTCCACCAAAATGTCACGGGTGGTGACCAAAATAAAAGGAAATAAACGGGAAGAAATAAGCGTTTAATGTGGCGAACTTGTGCCAAAAAATAAAGGGAGAACAAAGATGATAACAGAGCGTCGCAGGCGTCGAAGTCGGCGTAGCAGCACAGTCGAACGCTGGAGCGAAACTGACTCTGGCTTGCCTGCGGAGCCGCTTTTGTACACACGTTGGCTTCTGGAGCATTCGACGTAGAAGGTTCGACGCGCAGAAAATTCTGACCTCGAATCAGCTAGACGGTTCTCGATTTCACCAGAACATCACATTACAGTGTCAACAAAAATGCATAACCGCGGCCAGGAATCGAACCCTGGCCCTTCGCGTGGGAGGCAAGCGCGATAACCGTTAGGCTATGGCCGCGCTGCCTACTTGGCGCGCGGCAATACGACCGATTTAACGATGCGTGGTGCCATCTCCCAACAGGTACAGTGAGTAGATGATGGAGTGTGTCATCTGCCTGTCGGGAGATGACGCCACGCATTACTAGCATCGCTAACTCTGGGGTCTGCGAACCCGTCCGCCATTGACCCTGGCAAGTTTGTTGCTCTAATTTTTCACAGGAAGGGAGTTGTGCCTTGAAATTTGATCACCTAAAATCCACCATCTCGATGCATGTTCGATGAAAGATTTAACTTTCTATGTGCGATTGCTGATTTTGCTGATTTGTCCAGCTTGTTTTAGAGTTCAGAGATAAATTGTGGACACACTATACTATTATCAGTCTGTAATCATCGAGAGAAATTTTCTCGACCTCATATTTTATTTATGTTGTCTTTTTACAATCTTATGCTAGAACCTTGTTGATGTACGTGGAGGCCAATTAAATAAAAGAGGGTTCAATGTGTGTCAGGCACGTCTGCCTGACAAAGGAATGCCGAGTGCAACACGCGGATGGTGGCACAGTCTTCACGTGTTTTCGTCTTTTTCCAGGATGGGGCTAACATTTGTAAGGGCTTCATTTCATGTTTTGCTTTTTTTTGTTTATTTTCTCCCTGGTGACTGTTTCAGAATAGTACCCTAGTTTAATTTGTGTTTCTACTGAGGCACCTGTACCACCAAGTGATTTGCAAGGGGGGGGGGGGGCTAGGAACCTTGTCAAGTTGGTTTTTTTTCTGTCCCATATTTTGTTTTGAAAGGAGACAGTTCTTATTATAATTGCAATCAATCATCTCAAGTTTTTTTTATATCACGTGGACATCTGTGCAAGGTGTAATTCCCCCACCCTCCCCTCCTGCGCTTTGACGGTTTATTCTTGCTGTTACTTTTTGTGACGGTCTCCCGACGGTCGTCGGTTAATGTGAGACACAGGGCATCGTGCACTCCGGTCGGCGCATTTCGCCTTTTGCTGCGACCCGTCAAAGTTTGGTTGCATACTGACCCCCCGAAACGTTCCTCGTTCTCGTCTTTTCAAGGGAGGAGACGGAGATCATCGAAGGCGAGGTGGTGGAAATACAGATTGACCGACCGGCTACAGGCACAGTGAGTCTGACACTTCTCTCATTTTACGGGGACAATTCTTTATGGGAATTCTGCACGGATCTTGCTTGCTCGTGCTAATCGCACCGTAGAGAGGCCACGGCAGATAGTGCCGGCAACAGAATGAAGCTCTCGGTTCGATTGCACAGCCCCTGCCGCAAAAGTGAAGCGTCACATGATGTCACGACGTATGGTACCACAGTGTCACGTGACACAACTTCGCAATTCCCCCACTGAGTTTAGCGGGGAAGTAACTTTGGTAAATTCCAGAAGAAATTTTTCTTTATAAATCCCATGCAGTGTTTTCGCATCTTCTTTGCAATTGACCGAATGTCTAAGGCAGGCGATTTTTTGCTCGAAGCCATCTCAATGCTAATTGATGAATCAGTTTTAGTATTTAATATTATTTGCTCTCAAGTCCAAACACAAAATAGACTTTACAATCAGTCGGGATTGCTGACTTTGTCAAGTTGAAGGCTCTTCGCTGAAGCCAGAGGTGTTTTGTGGCGCCGATGCCAGTTAGGTGTGACACAGCTGATTGAGCGACAGTTCTGTCTTTTAGCTTACTATCATCGATGTGTTGCAGCACTTTCTAGAAGCGTTACCAACAGAAAAAGTGTGTGGGTAGCTTGGATCCACACGATGTGGCTTTTTTCGACTCAAATTTCAGATGTGAATGTTCTGGCTGGAGCGTTTTACCGGCGTTGCACACAATAAGCCTATACCTTTGGACCTGGAATGCTAAAGGAAGATGCAGCTTGGAGACACTTTTTCTTTTAGAGTGCAGCTCTTAGGCCCCTGTTTCCAAGTTGAGGGAGGAGGTGGGGAATAAATATGAAATTTCTTATTTTTAGAGATATCTGAATGAAATTTACAGAATGTGTTTATAGCACAGACATAAGAGTAACTGCAAATTTCATGGAGCTGTGCATATTATTTCTCAAGTTACAAATATTTATCAAAATCGTCCATATGCATTCCTTATCCCAGGTCTGGAGAATTTGAAAAAGGTAGTAGCGGCGTAAAATTTGTTATGATGACCCCTGGATACATTCCCCAGGGCATAACAGAGCCCTTTTTTTAAATTTCTTTCTTGAACAATTTTAACGCAACTTTGAATTTTGTGTAGTCAATAAAACCCACATTCACCAAATTTCATTTTTTTATTATAAATTTTTAGTACAGTTTTCTAAAAAAAAAGGGCTCTGTTATGCCCTCACAAAGTTATTAGAGAACAGAATAAAAAAGACAGCACAAAAATCCATTCATCAGTTCCTGAGATATCGCTGGGACGAGCAGCCACGACAGTGAAAAAATCCATCCTGAGAAAACAGCACTTGAAAGTTGCACGCAGATTTTCAGCTTTAGAATGACCCTGCAGAATAGTCAGAAGTGTTCTTGCGCACTTTCTTCTTGTTCCGCCTTTCCAAATTCTCTTGATGTCGTTTGCTGGCCTTATGCAGACGTAGGGCATCTTTCTCGGAAGCTCGTTGGAGGGCTAGATGGGTCGGCTGAAGTCCCACTGCAACCGATATTTCTGCAGTTGCCTTGTAGCAGCCGGCGTTGAACCTCAACACCGCTTCATGCAGTGCAGCTTGCTGGCATAGCTCCAAGTTCGGCTTGAGCAATATCACAATGTCTAGCTTCTGCTTCGATCTCCTCACGTGTCAGGAAATGCGTCCGCAGATGGGTGCTAGAAGACGCGCTCCTACTTGTCGCGGCAGGCGGAAGACGGGCGCTGGGACCCGCGATCTCGGGAGGAACCACAACGGTCGGCATGCTCGGTACTCCAGGCGTGAGCGGGGCGATGCGTTCTTCCTCGACGACAGCCGATGGCACAGAAAATCCAACACTGGAAGTGTTGACGCGATCATCATTGACGGCACGCCGTGCAGAAACTTCCAACTTCGCCATCCGCACTAACTTCATGGACCGCTTCCGCGCCCAACCAAGTGCACCGTCTTGTACTTCGAACCCCGCATCGTGTGCGACCACGAAACAGACGGGCACGCTACACGAAATTACTCAAAGAAAGTTCGGAAAACGATCGTAAAGATGGCGAAAAACGAAGTGGAGCTGACAAAGCAAGAGCGCGTGCAAGCAGACCACTACCAAAAGCAGACGACGCAAGCGGCAACAGCAGGAGAAACGGAGGAGGGGAGCGCTCCGCGCGCGGAGAAATCGCGTCCCAGCCAATAGCAGTCGCGCGCTCCCCCGCACGCTCCTCGAGCGCGCGCTCTGTCCAATCGCGTTCTTGCGATTGCGACATGGAAGAACGGCGACCACGCCGTAACCACGCGGCCGACACCATTTTGGGAGCTGGCAAAAAAAAGAGAAAGAATTCACGTTCAAAACAAGACTAAGATGGCGGCCGTCGGCCCAACGCGTCGAAAATGGCGAGCGCGCGAAGTTGGGGTTGATTTTGACGTTTGACCGTCACTTGGATGCTATTCAGGCCTCGTAAATAATTGTTTTTAAATATTTCCCCGTTGTATTTGGTGCTGATAATTACAGAGAAGGTAGTTTATGAGATATACAACCGAAAAATAAGGTTTTCTAAAAATCGACTTTTTCGCAATTTTCCGGTTTTCAAAGCCCGCGTCCCCCCTTGAGTGGCGTCGCCGTCGGCCTAACCGCACGTTGCATTATGACACGTTTCCCATAATTACGTCACGTGTGAATTCACGAGTGTAAAATTTTCCTGGTAAATTTGGCAGGAAATATTTCCGCTAAATTTAGCGGGAAAATTTTACCCTCGTGACTGACGTTACATGAAGTTGAGCGGAAAAACTTTTCTGCTACCTTTAGTAGAAAAATTTCCCCGCTAAGTTTAGCGACAAAATTGACATCGCATGATCTCAACACCAATTCAGTTTCCCTGCTAAATTTAGCGGGAAAATTTTTGCTAAATTTAGCAAAAAAATTAGGGAAAATTTCCTGCTAAATGGGAGGGGAGGTGGGGAATACCGTCCTCTCCGTACCCTCCTCTCCTCCACCTCAAGAGCTGTGCTCTAATTCGGCATTACAGAGAATTGTAAACGTCTTTTGTTTTTTATATTTGCTCTAAAATAGTGAACCTTTAGCTACTTATGAAGCTTCGTCTTCTCTTCTCAGCACAACGTTAGTTTTAATGTAGCTTCTATAGTTTCTTCTTCAGAGGCAGGAACAACTACATGAAAAAGGTATTTTGCGCACAGGTTTAGGCACACTAGTTGTTTATAAGAAGTATGGTGCAGTAGCTCATTTTGCTTCTTATTAAGTGTAGAGTGCTCATAAGTACTCAAAAAGCTTTGTAAAGTTTTCCAATCTATAGAAGAAGAAAATAAAGTCGTTATAAAGCCTTCTTTTTAGGAGCCCTTTAGAGGTTAGATAAAATAGGGAAAACATAATTAAGATATTGCAATTCCAAATAGATACCTGCACTCCACGTATCCTCAAGTTGTCATAAAGGGAAGACTAAGTACTGATTACCGAGTTCACAGGCTGAGAAGACAAACCAGATCGCAAAACGAGAAAAATGCATTTGGAAGTTCAAACGATGCATGCAGTGTAATCGACTTATAAGAATAATGAGAAATCCCGAAAATTCAATCGTTATAACTGATTATCGTTGCATCTGGGCTAGAAACTGATCGTTTCTAGCCCAGAAACTCTAAAAACTGATCGTTCTAAGTGGTACATCACTATATGTGGTGTCGTTATAAGTGGATTGCACTGTACTCTTCAAAAATTGGCTGGAGTTCCATGAAATTGGGACATAAGATACCGTAAAATCCTGATCAAGCACCCACTCAAAATTTGGAGATAATCATGTAAAGCAAGGGGAATGGATGTTTCTGAGGTCAACAATATGTAAAGATATGTCCTATGTGTATTTTCTGAACGTTACAAAATCTAGGGGTGGGCACTTATTGTGGAATGCGGAGGATGCTTAGTATTCTACGGTGGATAGGGTGTCCAGGAATCACCCAGAGTCACTAAAACCGACCCTCCCTGTATGTTGTGACTTTGCTGGCCCCTCTTGCACCATGTGCCATCAAACACCGTTACATTAGCTGCTCCTCCCATATCAGCATTTCGGTCTTCACGAGGCTTTTGCTGGCAGTTTTCGCTGCAGCGGCATAATGTTCTGGCTAGTGAAGGTCTCCTGGTGCATTGGTGTTAGGAGGCCGAGAATCATGCTGGAAGCGCGCAAGTTTAAGACTGAAGTTGACGGACTTCAAAACTCGCGCAACCTCCCGCTGTTGTAGCCTTGCTTTGTGCTTATGTCAGCGTCAAACATGGCAGGTTTCGATGTAAACATTGAAAAAAAGAACTCACATGATGCACTTGCTCTTTTCTAAGTGCAGTCTGAGGAACATTGAAAATCCCTTGCGTTTCCCAGCCACACTCGTGAGGAGCGGGGCCATTCGCATCGCACTGAAGTATTGTCAGCACGCCAATGTCGCTGAAGACACTGAAGTTGCAGAGCCATAACCACCTGTTTTGTAAACGTTTTCGAAGAACCCTATCTTCTTTTTTGAGGCGACGACGTATGTGAGTGGAGCACCGATTGTGTCGGAAGAGTCGCCGTTTCTGTGGTTAGGCTTAGCACGCCACGGTGAACGTTCAGGGACGGAAGTACCGTGTCATTTGCGCTGAACTGCGCCTTGAACAAAAATCTGCTACAGTTAAACCTCTCTGTAACGAGCACTGATATAGCGTATTATTGGATATAGCAAACAAATTGCGAAGTTTGGTTGGTTGTGCTTTATTTTAATGGGAGTTCTAGCTATATAACAAAAGTGAAACCGTGAGATCTGACGCGCTATCGGTTATAGCGAAGCAATTTTTGCTTTTCTTGCGTCACAAGATCACCCTGGCAAAAGGAAACCTCAGGCCCATCTTAGGGGCAGCTGCATGCACGGAACAAGCTACTGCACAGAGTGAAGAACATCCAAGCGACAGAGAAGCCCAACCATCCAGCTTTGCAACAATTCACTGCAGTTCTGCTGGACTTCCCCGACGTGTTCGAAGGAATTGGGAGACTGCCTGAAGAACGTGCCATCCACGTCCAACCCGACGCAAAGACTAGTGTACAGTGTGTGTACCCCTTGAAGAGTGCCCAGTGCACTCGAAGGCACAGTGAAAGCAGAACTCGAGTGGATGCAAGCAAACGGAATCATCAAAAGAGTTACAGGGCCAATAGGATGGTTCAGCTCTGCCGTAGAATCAATAGCCCCAAACGGTCATCTGAACTTTGCAGCGTGAAACACAAGACTAAATTTGTTGAAGTGTTCCTTGTGTATCGGACTCCACTGCCGTGCGGAGGAAAGGGGTGGTGGTGCATATTGGCCAGGCGGGCAGACATATCAATGGGGGTGTGCGCATGAGCGCACGGCTGCCACGTTTGCTGACCCATCCGGTCATCTCACCGTTCACTGCCATAAGTGCTCCTGTTTAGCGGTGTTGCACGATGTTATGAATCTTGCTAGATGTAAAGACAAAACAAGCAGAGAACTGCGTGAGACATTCGAAATTTGCGATAAAGGTAAAGATTGTGTAAGTGAGGCATCCATTGCTCTTTCAAACAAAGAGTTTGATTTTACGAAAAAAGGCTTTGCACCAACGTGATGATGACTAAACTGGCCAACGGGGCCTACATACGTATGTGTTCTTTTTGAATAAACTACAGTTGCGAGTGTGCCTCTCTTTCGTCTTGCCTCGTCTTTGTGCTTGTTGTTTTTGGCACTTTTATGCCCCTTAATCCCACCCAGAAAGCCTGCCACTCTTTTCACTATGTTAGAGTGAACACTGGAGAGCAGAAAACAACTAATCGGAGCACTTTGTGGAGGGGCTCTGGTTGGACGACTAGGACTATTAGAATCTCATTGGTCAAAGTTGACTCAGTTTCTTTCCTCTCCCAGGGTGCCAAGGTGGGAAAGCTGACCCTGAAGACCACAGAGATGGAGACCATATACGACCTGGGCCAGAAAATGATAGAGTCGCTCACCAAGGAGAAGGTGCAGGCCGGGTGAGTTGCCTCCTGGTGATGCGACACGTTCGAACTAGAGTAACTGTATATGCTCCGCTTGTGGAGCAGAGTACCGCAATGGTGCCATTCTGGAGCCAAGCACTGCGGGAAGCCACGGTCGGTTTTTGCAGGGGCACGAAGGTGCAGATGCGAGGTGGCATGCTGCGGCGACGAGCTGCGCATGCGCCGTGATCGTTGTCCCGTCGTTTCCTGTCTCCCTCTCGCAAAAAGCGCACCCGAGTACGCACCCGCGGGTCGCGTGTGAAGTGAAGTCATCAAGTCGCTGTTGCAGGGACGCAGATAGCATCGTGAGCCCGCTGTCTGCCCAACTTTTGGACGACCATTCCCCTTGAGCGATCGCAAGAAGCAAAAGAATGCAGGCCTGCTTATTTTCCTCTTGTGTTCAATCGAAAAGCAAGTGCCGCTGCTCAGCCTGTGACTTTTTTTTTTTTTTTTTTTTTTTTTAGCAGGCAGTTTACGTAATATTATGTAGACGGAACAGTGCTTTACTTTCGTTTGTTCCAGTTATATGCAAATCTGAGGAATGTCGAGCACCCCCACTTTCATGCTGAAATAGTGTACCACTTTTTTTTTTCTTTTTTATCCGAAGTTTTTACCATTTCACAAATTCGAGACGCCCAAATTGAGAGCTCTTGGAGACCAGAATTTTCGCATGCTTTCAAGTTGGGCTGAATTTTGAATTCGTTTGAATCACAAGCATTAGGGGTCGAGAATAATAAATGTTAGACGGTGCTCCTAACTTTAGGAGATGCCGAGGTGCGAACTGCCCAATATAAAAAAAAAGTCTACCGACGTTCCACTTTCATTGCGGATAAGTCTTTGAAAACGCAGTCCAATTCGTTGCAGGGACCAGAATGATGCCGAGATTGACTGTTTTCCTATTGACCAGTATATTCCGCCCCGAGAAGAGGGTGATAGAGCTCTGTCTACTTTCAGTGTGACACCAACCTACATCTTGCTTTCTCTTCTATTTTGAACATTTTGCTGAACCTCTTAAACAGTTTTACTACCACCGACATGGTCTCTTGAAGAAATTGTGAACAGGTTTTCAGCACTAACAGTTTCTAAAACACGTTTATCCACACAACTGTCTGCAGAAATCTTTTGGGGTATTGTAAAAGGGCAGACAATAATTAAAAATGATATCCTTCCCATACGAAAAAGCCACACGAGGCGGCGTCTCACATCGTGTCTCGCCGTCGGAATCCGGTACAAGCTCTTGCCGCTGTCTGCGCGATTTGTGCACTTGGTAACACTACAGCCTGTCATTTTCATGGGGCTCTTTCTACGCGCATGCAAAATTTAATGCGGTAAACGACGCAGCGGCTGACAAAAACGCCGTCCCCCCGCTTCAAACGAGAGCTTGCAGACTTGCCAACATGGCCGGATGTGCCGGTCGCCGTATCGGTATCGCGTATCACTCCACGAGAGCCGCAGACGCGGGGAACGCGATCGTCGTCCGTGTTGTCTGCTTCACATACCTTGAAATCGAATGTCCCAAAATATTGCTCGCGTTATAAAAAACGGGATTGTACTGTACCCAGTTGATACACATACTGTTCAATGACTTAGGAAGCTTTCAGTTGGTTCGATTTTGGTCTAGGATCTATATTTTCCGACCGCAAAGCGGAAAATGTGTTCCCCCGAAACTCGGCGCTCTGGAAGGCTGCTTTTCTGCACGAAGGTCGGATCCATTTCTGCGCACGTGACCACTCCTCCGCCAATACAGAGGTGGCGGCGAAAGGAGAAGGAACGCGATACTCTGGCTCTGCAAGCAGAGCCTATACAGTTACTCTAGTTCGAACCGGTTTCTTTGTTCCTTGACGATGGCCAGGATTCGAACTCGCCACCTGGGGATCCGTAGGCCGTTTTACTAGGAAACCTTCTTGGGCCTAAGACTGTGTCAAGTCGCAAGTATGTCAAATGCCGTGCCACGTCAGTATAGTTTTTAATGGTGTTGATAATGATACTGGTCTTGTAACCATGCTGTTTTGTTGGCTGATTGATCGCACTCGGGGGTTTCATTACTAAGGGGCCTTTTTTTTGTACTAAACTTTACACCAATGAATCATCATCACACCATGTGGAGTTACAATGCCTAGGATTCCGTTTTTCCAAAATTCATTCTTCATAAAATTTGGAAGGCTTTTTTTTTTAGTTTATTTTTCGGCAAACATTTTAAGTTAATCTGAGTTTATTATTGTTAAATTCTAAGTTTAGTTTTGCTGTGCTTTGAATTTTCTGACATTCAAAAAAAAAAAGTAAATAATAATCCGGTCACAGATGCACGGAGATTTTGTAACAGTATCAAATTGCATTTCTCCAGCTGGGTTTCTTGTTGGAGCCCTTAGCATACGCGGCACTAAATTACTTCAAAATGCATGTTTGGCGCATTGGAACGCAGGGAGGGGCATGCCAATCAAAGGGCAACGTAGGAAATGCGCAAGGAACACGCGACGACGAACCAGTTAGGTGGGCGCCAACATTGGTCGAGGTCGCGGGGAGATAAAAAGCTCGTGCAGCATTTGGCGAGTCAAGAAATGCACGAGGTGCGCAAGGAACGGACAAACTTGCAGGCCGTACGCATTTCCTATGGCGCTTTTGGAGCTCTGCAAACAGTGGAAACGTCTGCCACGCTTCTAAAATCTGTTGATGACGCCGCCAAGAGACGACTGCTTCCATGCAGCCGAGGGGGAGCTGTGGCCGACCTTTCTGCACCGGGCGGCGTTTTATCAGATAGCACCGGAGACTGGTGATCCTGGCGCAAACGAGATTGCTAACATATTTTCCGGGCTGTATAGTTTGCAGACTGTAGAAGTTTAAGGACATGGGCCTAAATTTTAAATTTTTTTGAAAAAATTCATTTTTTAATTTTGACGTTTTTAGTTTTAGAAACTAATTATACACCTTTACACCAAATTTGATAACCATACGCCAAATAGTTAAGTTGATATAAAATATTTTCAACACATTGTGAGGCAGTAACAAAGTAAAGAAGTTCAATGTTTGAATGCATTTTTCTCAGTTCCACTTTTTGCTGCAAATTTCATACGAAGGAATCTTTTGTTCGAAGGTGAAAGTATTCTGATACCGCAATCAAGATGTTTCTGAACTGAAATTTACTCAGGAATTGGGCTATCTACTTTATTTTGTTTTAGGTTGTAGTCCTCAGTGATAAAAAACTAATTTTTCAAAAACTGACAGTGGACAGATATGCATCTCATAGTTTGAGGTAATAACTCTTCCTGAAATATTTACATTTAAGTTGTTAAAACTAGATAGCCCGAGGTCCCATATCCCCCACTTTATATTCAAGCAGTCAAAATGATGCTTAATAGCTTGATTTGCATATCATAGATTTCTTAATGAAAAGTGACACATCATCTTATGCAGGTATGTAAATTTGTCCCAGAGAGCTGAAAGTTTGCACAGTACACCTACATCTGAAGCTAAATCTCCCCTGCAAATTTCATTCCGATCACTTGAGTAGTTCAAAAGTTTGACCTGTAGCCAGTGTCCCCCCTTAAAAGTTTAAATTTGCACGGTACAAACTACACGGGGATTTGTTTTTTTCTAGATTGTTCATTATGACCAGAGGTCATAATAAACAATCTAGAATGCAAGCTTTTTTGTTATCTGATAAGGCAGTCATTTGTCAAGGTGTGTTGTGTGCAAGAAGTTTCCGTCCGCGGACTAAGCTCCAGGTCAGTCAAACTACCTAAGGAAAATCTCTTTTTTTTTTCTTTGACCAATATCAGTTTTGCGCTTTGAAATGCGTTGAAGCACATACTCTGAGACTTCTTTGTAGGCAACTTCTTGAATCTAGGTAAATATACTGTCAATGTGTCGGGCACGTAGGAATGCTTCTTTTTGCATCTCGAGCAGCCGACGATTTTAAGTGTGTTTTGATACCCAAAGCGATACGCGACTGATCATTAGTTAACAAAGTAATTTTTAAAAACATGACTGTGAATGAGCTCTATGCATTTTAGAAATGGCTGATGAGGACGATAGCGTCTCCCAATGCAAAGCGTGCATACCCTCTCTGGCAACATGTGCAGTGGAGTTCCCCAACCGAGCTGGTCTACTAAGGTTGCATGCAACCAAAGAATTCATTTAATAATCTAGAGGAAAAGGACCATCTTCCACACATCTTAGCCACTTCAAATGGTGGGGCGTAGACGCAGACGTCAATGTTCCTCATGGGCTCGTATTGCAACGACGCTTTACTATATGCGAAGAAGTAGGAAACCATCACTTCCAAGGTTTTTACATAATTGTTTCTAGCTTTAGGTTTCTCAAAAACTCTTCATCGCACACTCTATAAAGAAGGTAAGCTCGATTGACAAGCACTCGACCAGCTTCGTCTCGTGATGGCAAGACTGACGCGTCTAACCTATTGTCCGCTTTCTTTCTCATTCTTTTCCCCGGGGCGACTGACATTGCCGTTTACGACGTGCAACCGCGTCTCCCTCTCGCTGCATAGGGACATCATCACGATCGACAAGGCGACGGGCAAGATCACCAAGCTGGGCCGGTCGTTCACCCGTGCCCGGGATTACGACGCCATGGGGCCCCAGACCAAGTTTGTCCAGTGCCCTGAGGGGGAGCTGCAGAAGCGCAAGGAGGTGGTGCACACGGTCACCCTGCACGAGATTGACGTCATCAACAGTCGCACCCACGGCTTCCTCGCGCTCTTCTCTGGTGAGCTACTCCTTTTTGCTTGTATCGGTAGTTGAGGGTCATAGGCATTGTTGCAGAACTGCCTGCATGCTAGCGCTTGTGGGATGCCGCAAGAGATTGCTACATCGTGTTTTAGTACCGAGTGCGTTTTGGGCTGATTTCCAAAACGTTGGTTCACACTTTTATGACTGACTTTGACACAGCCGATTTCTTAGCCCCTTGACGGGATAGTGAAACAAAAATTGAAATATATCTCTTATGTTTGGAAATCGGTTACACGTGATCAACGAAATCTGCTAATGGCACTGGCACGTTCGTATTTGTTTTGAACAGATGGCTATATTTTTCGTTCCAAACGGCAGATTCCAGGGAGTGCTTGAAGAGCAGCTGTCAGAGAGCGCGATACACCTCGGAAAATCCGGTGCGTTTCTGACACCAAGTTTACCTTCGCGGACAAGGCTACAGGGAGGCTGACGTGGTTGTGACCTTCGCCACTTGGCGACGTTGGCGCTTTAAAACCCGGCCCTTCGAGATGCCCGCTCCCGGCGGGAGTTGAATAGGCGCCAAATAGGGGGAGATCTGGTTCGGCCAAGTTCGGTGTGGCTCTTGCACGCGTAGCTTGTTGCCATACTTTTGCAGGGTGGCACTGCTTTTATGGGTAGTGCCACCCTTTATTAATTAAACCTTTCATGAGCGTATGTACGAGACTGCACCCTGAATTTCGCCAGTGCCAATGGCTGACATCCGTAGGTGCTGCGTGATGTCGCAAAACCCAAAGGATTGTCGGATGTTTGGGATAACGAGCGTTGGTTGATGGCTGTCTCGTATTTAGTGCAGAATTATACAGTCTCCTAGGCTGTACCCTACCAAAATACATTTTTTTTAATGCAGTTCCCAAGTGTGTGCAAAAAATGTCTCGCCTTTTAGCAGGATATTACTCGAAAACAGCCACAAGCTTTGAACAGTCGTATGGCGTTTCATGCAAACACAACTGCGGCAGCCACCGGTCGAACTAGGAGCTCTTGCAAAGCGAAGAATGCAGATTTTGCCTCTGAGGCAGCGCCTAGGTACATGAAGTGGCATCTGGGTACAGATATCGGCGGATCCACTGGATCGGTGATGAGGCTGCAAGTTGTTCTCTCGGAGGCGATGTCCTCCGGTCGAAGGCAAACGGCGAATCGTTCGAAGGCACGTCGTCACTTGACTTGGACGAGCTTGGTGAATTGTAGCCACGCTCCATTTTCACACGTGGGTCAAACAGAATCAGGCTGAACGCGTGCTGAATACAAGTTTTGGCATCGTTTCCAGATGGCCTAGCTGTTGGTTTCAGTTTCGCTGCATAAATCGATTGATCCGATTTAGGTGAGGATTGGGTGGACCTAGTTGAATATCATTTGCACAGCATCACACCTCAGCTTACGAGCCTTCTGTCCACTTAGAGCTCAACCTGTAGCTCTCCTTTGTGAGATCATTGCTGCATAAGTGGGATCTCGATCTTGACGGGAACCCAGTACCTACACGAGGGGACTGGCCATTTTGCTTGTCACTGCTTGTCTCGCGAAAAAGTGTGGAACGTCACATTTTGGCTCGCATATCCTGCCCGGGGGTTGTGGCACCCAACTGCGCAACAAGGATCTCACCCATCCACGAAACAAGTTAAGTGCAACAACAAAAACGAAGCACGCTGCAGCGTTCACTCGCAGGCAAACGACGAGACAGAAATACTCTCTTTGTGTTGCGCGACGTGAGAGCTTCAATGTTGCCAACGAAAACAGCGTTAACGCTAAGATACGATTGGAGCGGTATAAATTCAATAACTCATGCAGAGGGGCATTAAAAATCAGATATTGCACGTACGATGCGTCTCAAGGCAATAACAATGATGTAAATTGATATTCGATTGTTTTCTCTAATACAAAATTTGACCAAACAATCCCTTGAAAGGAAAAAAAAAAGAATTTTTTTTTTCCGGTTAGTTGGGACACGTGTGTTAAAAAATAAGTTTTACATGAAAAAATAAATACATTTTAGAGCAATATTGATGGCGAGAGATTTTTATGAAATTCTGCACGCAAAGTCCATGACGTCATTGAATGGTCATTCGCTCTTTCCACCTCAACGTGAAGGCGAAGCCGATCCACCTTTCCTCAATGCGCCCGAAAGGCCGAAAGAGAAAACAAGTGGAAAGGAGGTGACCACCGACTAAATCACGTCTTGCATCGTCAATATTGCTCTAAAAAAATTTTATTTTTTTTTTTGCTTAAAATTAATTTTTTGACATGCTTGTCTCCCTCAGATTCTTTAAAAAATATTTCTTTTTAGGGGCCCTTTAAGAATGCGTTCGCGAATACCGATTTCTCCACTTCTTACTACCTGCGTAACTTACAAACTTCTTAGCTAGTTGTCGTAGCCTAAGAACCTCTTAGTGAATCTGGCCTCGGAGTTTCACATACCTGGCGGGTCTTCCATATTACTTGGGAGACTCCCAAATTTTGACTAATTTGTATGATTGTCAAAAAAATCCCTTAGAGAACACAAATTACCCCTCCCTCCCCACACTTAAACAAGGAGTTTTTCATCTTGCAACAAACAGCTGCAATGATAGTGCGGCCCAGCTGTATCTCGCTAGCATGAGCAGTGCAATATAAATGAAATGAACTTGTTTGCATGGTAAATTTGTTGTTAATTAAAGAAATAAAAAATAATTATTTTCTTTCTCCCTTCCCCACTTAGAAATTATCCAACTTGGCAGGTATGGATGCAGGTCTCCGGAGGTGAAAATAAGACACGCCTGCTTGACGTGTACATGCAGTGATGTGATTGCTGCGCCAATTGCGCCAAACTGCGCCAAGGGGCGAACCCTGCTACATCTTGCTACATTTTGCCAAAATATGGGTAAACTGCGCCAAGCCTGCGCCAAAAGATCAATTTTGGTCGTCTTTCAAAACCGAAACTAAACTGAGTACCGTAACTTAGCATGCATGAGCTAGGTAGCGCAAGCGGCCGCCCAACAAAAAGTACCCTGTATCAATCGTCCATCCGGTATAGTTTTTCCCGCCACCTTTCGTTTCACGCGCTCGTCGTTCATGTGTCTCGTCTACACTGTGGTCTCTTTCGTGTCTTTTTAAAAACAATTTCAACGATAGACGTGGGCGTGTGTTGACGCTTCAGTGCTTCAGTCGTTGTACAAAGCGCTCCAAGTACATTTTTTACCCTGACTCGCGATGTATTGTTTTGACCTGACTCGCTCAGGTTCTTTTTCTCTGTGTGTTTAGCTTGTACCTCGCCTGCCGGCCTGGCAAGCACTTGCCGCTGGACTGTTTTTTGTCGTATGCTGGACAATTACATTTTGCATACAATTTTGGGAACCAGTTGGCGACGGAGCGGAGTGGCATGGTGTCTGTTTCGATCGAACAGCCATCTCTGCTCGCGCGACGAAGCACGTGCAAATGCAAGCCTGCCGAAGTTGCCCTCATGTGCATGCGAACATGACTGCACGACAGAGGCACCAGCCGGGACACTTGCAAGCCATTGTTTTATGGTTGCTTACTTTTGACGAAAATCTGGCACGTCGGGAACCAGTTAAACGGTGGCAAGCGGTTTTTCGGAATCGCTCGGCAACGGCCACAGTACTGTTCACTTGTGGGATGTCTCAATGTCTCTTTGGAGACATTGAAAGTGGGAATTCATTACTAGTCAAAGGCAAAGGGAGGCTTGCAGCAGCCTTGTACTAAAATGTTTCGAAAAGAAAAAAGAAAAGCACCTTTGTCTTGTGTACAATTTCGCATTGCACTGCAGTAGTTACGTGTTTCATCAGTCGGAGACTGCTTCCATTTATTATATTATATAACTACGGTAGTCAACCTACTAGCATATTTACTAATAGACCAGCTTATTTACTAATGTGGTCATTTTCAATTAAATTTTAATATGTGCAGTTTGGTTCTTATTTATCAATAACGGTACATATATATGTAGAATTTAACTGAGGCATTGCAAAATGTAGAATGTCATTGGCATTTCAGTTACATGTTGAAAGACACCCAGGTGGTTGAACTTGACCATAATTTGTTTATTGCGGCGAGTGAAGTGCCCTTTCTTCGTTTAGCACTTAAAACAAATATTTTTATTTTTCTAAGAATATCTGCTCCAAAAACCACTTTTGCTGCTCCGAAACACTGTTCTGGCTGCTCCAAAAGCAACGTTTGTTGCTCCAAAACACTGTTTTACTTGCTCCAAAGGCCACTTTTGCTGCTCCAAAACACCGTTTTGGCTGCTCCAAAAGGTGCTCCAAAACGGCTTAGGCCAATCACATCACTGTACATGGCACAACTACTTTATTACATACATAGTATTGCCGATATTAACATTTTGCCAGACCTCTTGACTCTATACTTATCAGCAAGACTGTCCTTGCGCTTTTTGGCGGTACACATATTTTAATCAATTCAAACTACGCATTCTGCATCAGTCAGCTTTATGCAAAGTATCGAGGTAAGTTTTTCCTAAGTGTTCTCAAAGACCCAGCTTTGCTTGCATGGCACGAGAGGAAACGACCCAATGCCCTTTGTCTTTGTGTAGGGGACACGGGGGAGATCAAGGCAGAGGTGCGTGAGCAGATCAACGCCAAGGTGGCGGAGTGGCGGGAGGAGGGCAAGGCGGACATAGTGCCGGGGGTGCTGTTTGTGGACGAGGTGCACATGCTGGACATGGAGTGCTTCTCCTTCCTCAACCGGGCCATGGAGAGCGACCTGGCCCCCGTGCTGGTCATGGCCACCAACCGGGGCCTCACCCGCATACGGGGCACCAACTACCAGAGCCCCCACGGCATCCCCATCGACCTGCTCGACCGCCTCGTCATCATCGCCACCAAGCCCTACCAGGAGCGCGAGGTCAAGCACATCCTCCGCATCAGGTGCCTTTTCTTTGCACTTCTCTTTTATTCGTTCATTCATTCCTTGTTGCACCCTTCTTGTTCAGTCATTCGGTCATTCACTTATTGTTGTACCCTTCTCATTTATTACTTCATTCCTTGTTTTATGTTTCTCGTTTATTCACATATTCGTTCATACATCGTTCATTCATTCACTTCTTGTGCCCTCCTCAATTATCCATTAATTCATTCATTGTTGTATGCTTCTCATTTATTCATTCATACATTGTTAATTTATTCAGTTGTGTTGTACTCTTCTCATTTATACATCCATTTATTAATTCATTTATTAACTGCTGTAAACTTCCCATTTATTCATCCATGTATATTCATTTGCTTATTCATTCAGTGTAGTACATTTCCATTCGTGCATCATTAATTTATTCACTTATTATTGTACCCTTCTCGTTTATTCCTTCACTGATTCGTGCCATTAATTTAATTGCCCATTGTACCCTGTTTGTTTATTAATTATTATATAATTTTCATTTATTCATTCATTCATTCGTCAATCATTTTTCATTCACTAATTCTTGTACCCTTCTCATTCAATCATTTATTGTTTTATGCTTCTCGTTTATTCATTCCTTGATACATAACTCATTAAGGTATTCACTTACTGTTATATTCTTCTCATTTATCCATCCATCTAGTCATCCATTCATTCATCAATTTATTGTTATACCATTTTCATTCATTCACTCAATCATATATTACTGTATTCACTTATTGTAGTACCCTTCTCATTTATTAATTCACCAATTTATTAAATCACGAGCGGCCCGCACCGAACTGTGTATGAGACTGTTTCTTCGGGAACGAGACATTACCATATTTGAACTTACAATGTTAATTTGTTCTCTATCATATATTTTTCTGCCATAACCCCGGTATAATATTAGCGAGTTTTAGAATTAGTGTACGCAAAAGCTTTGCATACTCAAAAAGAAATGGCATCGATCCCAAGCTGTGCTTTGGATTGGCACAGGGCAACGATGCTATTTCTTTGCATACGTAAACCTTTCGCGTAATTCCAAAACTCGCAGAAGTCCCGAGGGCAGTGTAGGTACTTGTGTAAATAAATGAAAAGAGAGCAGAGTAAGCATGAGTAGAAAGTTACAAGCTTCCTCCGGTGGCTCACCACCGAAGGAGGCTTGCAACTTTGTATATTCTTCTCCTCGTTGCGAGCACGGATGCCGTAGCTGTGGCGAGAGAGCCGACATGTGTGCCCTGCAGGTGCGAGGAAGAGGACGTGGAGATGAGTGACGAGGCCCTGATGGTCCTGACCAAGATCGGGATGGAGACCACCCTCCGCTACGCCATCCAGCTCATCACGGCCGCACACCTGGTCTGCAAGAAGAGGAAGGTGCGTCGTCGGCTTGGTTTAATTTCACATATTATCCCTAAAGGGCCCCAGGAACTAATTTGTATTTCTTTCTAACGTTGCTAACCATTGCACATTAAGTTTTTTTTTTCTTTTTTCGTAAAGCATACCATACAAATTTATTTAAAATCGTCAGTTTTCAAGAAAATTCAAGGAAACATTCGCTCGACCCGCAGAAATTTTTGGTAGCTTTCCCTACAAATTCCTAGCCGTATGATGTGCCAGTAGTTGTTCACCGCGTGTCATCGTCAGAAACTTTTGGGAAGATGAAAATCAACAAGCAACATCTGGAGGCCAAGTGAATCTTACATTCACTTTTTGAAAGAGGGGGAAGGCTCGCAAAAAAGGAAGTACTAATGTGGGAGTCAAAGTCAAAGGCCAGACGGACATCATTAATTGGAGGGAGTTTCAGTCACTCTCCGCGCAAATCGGCGATTTTAAATAAAATTTCCCAGCCATCGCAGAGAGAACTAGGCCTCGAAATTTCAAGCGGTAAAACGGACTTCCTTGGTGAACGTTACCTAAAAGTCTGAGCCCTCGACGTGCAGACACCGATTTTGCTGTCTTGTTTTATAGCGGTGGCAGTGGACGCACATTTCGCTTTGTAGACACGGGGGGGGGGGGGGGGGGGGGATTGTCAGCGTGGAGGTACGCTCCGTTAAAAAACCGAAATCCAGAAACACGCCTAAATTAAGCATATTTTTGGAATGCCGTAAGGTGCTGCGCATGCCTTATATCGTTGTAATGTGGGTGCCTTTAGTAGTTTTCAAGTATGCTCAGCAAGATTCCAATAGAAAGCGTCCCTTTAGAATTCATAATTAACAATTTAGTTCCACGAAATTAATTATAGGGATGCAATTATATTGAAAGCTAATCATTTTCCTGCCTTTGAGACAGACCACTACGACATCCACCTTTTTTCGGTGAGATGCATAGTTTTTGCAGAAGTGATTTTGACCCGCGTTTTCGGAAGCATCCTGCACAATGCCTTCATCACGTCTCTGACCGGTGTGTTTGCTGCATCTTTGTTTGTGGCCCCTCGATTTCCGCTTGTTGTCATAGAAGGGTCCCATTGTTGCCGGCCACAATCCTCGTGGCGTCACAACAGCGGATATGAGTGTAAAAGACGCCCGCTCTTTCCTGGGTGCAGCTTGACAGTTCGCGGAAGTTTTGGCTGCCGGGGGTTTGAGGCGCTGCAGCGACGACGACATTTGCGTTCGCTCATCTTTTTTTACTTGAAACGCCTTTCATTGCGGTCACTGGGATGTCGATTGCTAAAATCGCAGGTAACGAAAACATGTAACATTGATATTGCCTATATCTTTGCAACCGTACTACCTGCGCGCCTTACTTTGGTCTCGTTGTGTAAAGAAAGGAAGTCGTTACACGATCACGACGTGTCCCCTGCGCAGGTGGCGCTTTTGTCGCGCCTCGCACGACGCAACTGGAGCTAAATTGAGCCTCGCATGCGACTTTGACCGAGGCATGGCTCTCTGTCAAGGCCGCGCTCTCAAACACTTTTTCCACGGCATGCGAAATTGCGTGGTGAAAAGGGGGTGCGGTGGCCCGATCGGCCGGTTCTTTCTGAGGGCACCCCTCCCTCTCAGAGCGCTCCCTAGCACGCCGTCTCTAGCCGTCAAAGTGCGGAGTGGCGCAGGCGTCACGTGGTACTTGGACAAGGATCACGCGGTTTTGTTGACGGTGGGCCAACAGTGGCCTGCAGTGGTGTACGGGGTCCGGCATGACGGCAATAAATATCTGGTTCTACAAATTGCCTGTACTTTTGACGGTGCGAGGATTATGACGGACGGACCAACATCCGCCTCTGACCGTGACAGGAAGACTCGACGTGGGAAGTATTCCCAGAGCTTTTATGAGATTGTACATCTCACGGCGGTGAACACGCTAAGCCTAACCGATGAAGAAACAGCTCGCGGAGCTCGCCGCTGTTTTATTGGGTTTTGTGGACATTTCAAGGAATTTTCAGGTTTGGTAAAAGTATGTTCAAAGGTTTATGTCGTAAAATAACGGGAGATCCGACCATTATGCACCTGTGTCACATGGCAAACCGCGCTGTCTTGCAGGTGATGTTTGCACGATATTGTGCTGTGAGAAAAATGCGATAAACCATTTGATATTTGCCCGTTCTGTTGACGCATGACCGCTAGCGCAGCGCAATTACTCGAAAACGCGATGAGCTGAAAACTAGTTTGAAACGTTGGCTTTCGTTTCGTTCTGCAGAAATCAATTTGCATGCTGCAGTTTTTTTTCTTTTTTTGCATGTTGATGCATAGAACAGTATGTAGTCTGTCACAGCTGTTATATCTTCATGTTGCAAGCATAAATTTTGCTTAATCGTTCATCGTTTGCTGTAAAATGTTTTTTTAGAGCGCAGCTCGTGGGCGCCCGTTTCTGGCTTGAGCGGCGTCGGCATAACCGCGCGATTCATTATGGGAAATATCCCATAATGCACCGCATGGGGCCCTCGTGACGTCACGTGTGACGTCACGAGGGTCCCGCGTGGTGCATTATGGGACATTTCCCATGATGCACTGTGCGGGTAGGAGGAGGAGAAGGGAAGAGGAGAGGGAGGACGAGGGGGAGAGGAGGAGGAGGGGAGGAGGGAAGGAGCTGGAAGGGATGGAGGGAGGAGGAGTAGCAGGTAGGATGAGGAGGAGGGAGGAGGGGTATAACTTCCCCTCAGTACCCTTCCCTCCTCCTCCTCAAGAGCTGCGCTCTAATTCGGCGTTACAGGCTGTTGTAAGCGGCTTTCATTTTAGAGCGCAGCTCTTAAATGCCCGTTTCCGGCTTGAGCGGCGTCGCCGTCGCCGTAATTGAGCTGTGCATGATGTAACGTGTGACGTCACTGATGACGGCATCAGCATCGTCAGCGTCACTGATGACATCATCGGCATCCGCATCGTCATCGTCATCTTCATTGATGACGTCATCGGCATTCGCATCGTCATCGTCACGTGACTTCTAGGGGTCACGTGACCATCATGAGGTCACGTGACCCGGTGACGTCACATGACCCCCAAGAGGCCACGTGACCCTCGTGAGGTCACGTGACCCTCATGAGGCGACGGCGACGCCGCTCGGAGGGAGGAGTAGCAGACAGGATGAGGACGTGAGGAGGAGGGAGGAGGGGTACACCTTTCCCTCAGTATCCTTCCCTCCTCCTTCTCAAGAGCTGCACTCTCATTCGGCATTACAGCGAGTTGTAAACGGCTTTCATTTTTTTATCTATTACCAATGTCAAGAAATTTTACTTCAATGATTCGTCCGAGAATGTCAGAGTGCTCTCTGAGCCCAGCAGTTGTGATCTACTGGAAAGGATCCAGAGTAGCTTTGGCGGCAAGGGAGGGCCGCTCTGTTGAATCAAGGTGAGAGAAGAGAGGCGACCACCAGAATTACCGTCAGAAAGGACAGATGGATGTACCGATCAAGTTCTAGGACCAAACTGATGCCACTGTGAAAACTCGCTGCCTAACTTTGTGCTTCTTGGGCCACACCTGCACAGAAGACTTGGCATCTGCTTTCAGAAAAGCCACAGAAGGCATTAAGTGGACGAAGATACTGCGAGGGTCAATGGACGGGCCAAATGTCAGCTTGAAGTTTCTGAGGTCGCTCGAGAAAGAACTTGGAGCGTCCGGCACTCTTGGACATTGGAATCTGCAAACTCTATGTTGTCAATGGTGCCTTCGACACAGGTCACTCGGCGACACACTGGGACCTGGTAGTGTTTCTTCCTAAGAGGTATAACCTGTTCAAGTGTGTGCCAGCACGTCATGCCGACGACATTCTTTTCACGAAGAGTACTCAGTTTCCGTTGAAGTTCTGCTCAGTAACCTGGCTCGAAAATTGCGAGGTGATCCCGAGAGCACTTGATATTCTTCCAAACTCGGTTAGCTCTTTGGAGTGCACAAAGAAACAGAAAGGAAGCCAGTTTGGGCTAGCTACAGCGCTGTTGAAAAGGCAGTAAATGATCAGATGCTGTCTGTGGAGTTGGCTTTCATGCTTTCGACCGCCGAGGAAGTTGAGCCATTTCTGGGTGAATTTCAGACAGACAAGCCGACGCTTGCCTTCCTTGTTCCTGCACCGAATCGCCTCTTCCAAGCGGCCCAGGATCGACTTGGAGAAGCGTGGTAGCACCGTTGCTGCTGCCGCATTCGACATTGGGTTTGCCCCTAAGTACGAGCTTCGCAAGATCTCGGAACCATCGCACCTGAACGTGTTCGGCTTAAAGAAAAGTTTGTATTTCCTTCGTGAAGACGTGCTCACAAAAAACGACGAAAAGGTCACTCTTTAAATGCAAGTTGACAAGAGTTGCAAGCTGCTTGGATCCGGCTAGTGCATCATCCCTGGACGTTGGTGAAAAACAACTGTGCATTGCACTGAAGGTGGTAACGGAGCAGCTTGACTGACTGACTTAGAAGCAGAGCGAACCCATTGTTCCTACGTAGGGGTATGCTCACTGAGATCTTATGGGTAGCGTCGAAGGACTTGTGTTTGTGGGACAAGAAAGAGTCCTTTTCATTTGTCAAACTTTTAATTCTCTGCTTGTCTCGTGTCAATGCAGCTGTGAGAAGGGCCTATTCTGTGAACAAGGAGTGTCGAAAACCTTGAGAGAGTGTCACCGACGGCACAGAGTGTGGTGTATGACGGAGCCTCGGCGATGGTTGATCTTGCGAGCAGGATGAGGCAGATGGTTCGTGTTGCTAGCGCCCGATGGAAGGAGGAGCTACAAAAAGAGAGGCAAGAGAAATTGGACGCGTTGGAGGCCAAAAAAAAGAAGAGAGTGGCCACTCTCGTGAAGGAGGTTCAACAAAAGAAGCAAAGGATCTTTAGTGAAGCACAGTTGCAGGCTTCTCGTCTTGATGAAGAACACTTTGAAACAATAGGCCCCGGACAATGTTTTATTCTAAACATCTTCAAGAGCGACTCAAATAAAATATTTTACCTTGTGAATGATGACTAGT